GCGCGAGGAGGGCCAGCTGGCCGCTCTGGACACGGGCAAGACCAGACTCCACGGCGAGGAGCGCATCAGAACAGGAAAGAGGACCAGAGTCTTGGTCGACGGAACTACGCAGGAGGAAATGGATCTCGACTAAAGGGTCTTTTTGGGTTCTTACGTTTCTTTCTCCCCGGCTGCCCGGTCGGGTTCGATACCTTGAGGTTATGAATGGAGTTGGGTTTTGTTCAATGTTAAGCATTTTGCTTTGTCAAAAAGTATCCCAGTGGTTTCTCTTGTGTCATGAACTTTCATGTCCACTTGTTATATTCTTTTCGCTGTCATTATATGGGCCTAATCATATAGAGATATTGATAAATTTGTCGACTCGTCCAGCAGCAGTGGCTCCGAGCATCAGGTAAAGTCTCCGGTGAAAGACAGTAGATTGGCTGTGGTCGCAATTTGCTCATGCTGGATGTGTTCTAGATCTTAACTAAACAATCAATGTCCGACTCTGAAATCTTATTCTAAGCAAAACTCTGGTCCTCAGAAGTATCCAAGACCAATAACAGTGTTTCCAAGCCGAGCGGTGTCTAAGACTAACAACGTATCCAAAATCAACATGTCCATGACGGAGTCCACCAGATTCCTAAGGATTCTGGCCGGTCCTCAATCACTAATGCACAAAGGCGGTGGGAGCCTGATGACTCAGCTGATTCATCGGAACGGCGAAAAACGACCGAGCGAGATGACCTCTTCGGCGGGAAGACGATCGTTCGTTCCGGCACGAAATCAGCTCCATCTAAAGAGCTTCCCCTCTCCCTCCGCCCCCCTCCCCGCCACCACCTTTTCTTTTCTCCTCTACACCTCGTGCTTTTGGAAACGAGCCTTACACGGCAACTACTGGTCTACCTGTGCCATTGATATTCGAGTAGATCAAAAACCACGTACGCTCTATCGCGCCACCCATCTAAAACTGGTCGCCCTCCCGGGCCTTCGGTACCCTTCACCTCCCCCTCACAATCATGGCTTCCTTGCTTCGACGGCCAGGCAATCTCGCCCGGTACTCGAGGAGAGTAGCCGACAGCGTCTTCCGCGCCGGGCCGCTCACCGTGCATGCCCCCCAATCCCGCGTCTCGGCCCTGATCCTCGCGCAACGAGCGCGCACATACGCCACGCAGCAGCCCGGCGACAACGGCTCGAAGCCGCCAGCGAACGGGAATGGCCAGAACAAGAAGACGGAGGGCACAAATGGTCAATCTGGCAATGCCAAGGCGAAGAACACCCCCCAGCACGCCATCACACCCGAAGACGAGCAGCTGCTCAATCGGTTCGTCGAGGAGATGAAGACACGGATGGATTTCGAGCCGGCTAAATCGATGGTGGAGGAGATGCGACAAAAGTGCATGGTCTGCGGCTTGAATCCAGACATGAGGTCTTACATGGAACAAGTTGTCCAAGGGAAGACTCCGTCCGTGATGAAATTCATCAAATTCGCCAGGGATGTGAGCAATATCTATGATATGAATGAGGTGTATAAGCAAGAACAATCTTCAGACGCCAACAAGGGATCTTCACAGAAAGCTACCAGTGGCAAAGAAGATCCTGAGTCTCCTAGTCCTCGGCACCAGAAGTTTTTGGAGGAAGTTGAGGCCTTTGAAGCAGAGGTCAAAGCCGTGCGGGAGGCGTTCAAAAGAAAGTGGGGAGACGATCCCACCAAATACCCGAAGGCGGACCTTGAAGCCATGGAGAAAGAGGTGCAGGACAAGCATAACAAGTTCTTAAGGGATCACACAGACCCCAGCAAACACACGAAGGCGGACATTCAAGAAATGAAGAAACATCTGGATGATCTCAGGAAAAGACGAGCAGAAGCCCGGGCGGCATCTGGGAAAGGGCAACAGCAGAAAGACGGGAAAGGACAGCCCAATGGCGAGCCACCCAAGTTCAGCGAGATCAAGCTTGATGTCCCGTCAATCTTGATCGGTTCCCTCGTCTTCTTCTGGTTTTATACCAGCCTGTTCCCTTCGGAGAACAAACAGGATATCACTTGGCAGGAGTTTAGAGCGGATTTCCTCGAGAAGGGCTTGGTGGAGAAGCTAGTTGTGATCAACAACAACCGAGTGCGAGTTTATCTGGATCGTGATGCGGTTGCCAGCGTATATCCCGGCTCGCCTGCTCAGAATGGCAGCTTCTACTATTTCTTCAGCATCGGTTCTGTCGACAGCTTTGAACGGAAACTTGATGCAGCGCAGGAGGAACTCGGTATTCCAAGCGCGGAGCGAATTCCCGTTCAATATTCTGAGGAGGTTCCATTGGCAGCTACACTTTTGTCTTTTGCTCCTACGGTCCTTCTTCTCGGCGGTCTCTTTTTCCTGTCGAGACGTGCAGGCGGCGGAGGTGGCCAGAGCGGTATTTTCGGCATTGGCAAAAGTCGGGCCAAACGGTTCAACCACGAGTCGGACATCAAAATCAAATTCTCCGATGTGGCTGGCATGGACGAAGCGAAAGTGGAGATCATGGAGTTCGTTAGCTTTTTGAAGAACCCTAAGAAGTTTCAAAAACTGGGAGCCAAGATTCCTCGCGGTGCTATTCTATCGGGCCCTCCTGGTACAGGTAAGACCTTGCTTGCCAAGGCTACTGCTGGTGAGTCTGGCGTTCCCTTCTTCAGCGTCAGCGGCTCTGAATTCGTCGAAATGTTTGTTGGTGTCGGTCCTTCGCGTGTGCGCGACCTCTTTGCCAATGCCCGTAAAAACACTCCCTGCATCATCTTTATCGATGAGATCGACGCGATCGGCAAATCGCGTTCCAAGAATCACATGGGTGGTGGAAATGATGAGCGCGAGAGTACTCTGAACCAAATTCTCACCGAAATGGACGGTTTCAACACTTCCGATCAAGTGGTCGTGTTGGCTGGTACGAACCGACCCGACATTTTGGACAAGGCTTTGATGCGTCCCGGTCGATTCGACCGACATATTTCCATCGACCGACCTACCATGGATGGTCGCAAGCAGATCTTTGCTGTCTACCTGAAGAAAATCGTGACCAATGAGGACATCGAGTACTTGAAAGGACGACTTGCGGCCTTGACCCCTGGATTTGCAGGTGCTGACATCGCGAACTGTGTGAACGAAGCGGCACTCGTTGGTTTGTCTCCACCCATCTCTTTATGCTAGACGCAATGCTAACTCTTACGTGCAGCGGCCCGTGAAAATGCGGAGAGCATTACCATGAAGCACTTCGAGCAGGCGATCGAGCGTGTAATCGGTGGCTTGGAAAAGAAATCACTTGTACTCTCTCCCGAGGAAAAGCGTACAGTTGCATACCATGAGGCTGGACATGCTATCTGTGGCTGGTACTTCCGTTGGGCCGATCCTCTTCTCAAGGTTTCTATCATCCCCCGTGGTCAGGGAGCCTTGGGCTACGCCCAGTACTTACCTTCCAACGGTGATACCTACTTGATGAACGAGAAGCAGATGCTGGACCGTATGGCCATGACGCTTGGTGGCCGTGTCAGCGAAGAATTGCACTTCGATACCATCACCACTGGCGCCAGTGACGATTTCAACAAAGTAACCAGGATGGCCACCGCCATGGTGACCAAGTATGGCATGTCTCCCAGTCTTCGTTATATCTTCTACGAGGAGGACCCTCAATCGCAGATGCACAAGCCTTTCTCGGAAGAAACGGCGCGCAATATTGACATGGAAGTCCGTTCAATCATTGCCAAGGCACACAAGCAATGCCGCGACCTCCTTGAGGCGAAGAAGAAGGAAATCGGCATCGTGGCCGAAGAACTTCTGGCCAAAGAAGTTCTCAGCCGAGACGATATGATTCGTCTTTTGGGGCCGCGGGAATGGCCCGACTCTGGCGAGTTCGCCAAGTACTTCGATGGTCGCTCCGGCGCCACGATTGCTCCCCCCGAACCGACCCAGACGGACGACAGCGCCAAAGGAAAGGATGGACGTGACTCAACGCCACTCCCACCATAAACCCATCGCCGGGTTTCTTATCTCGTCTTTTCTATTTGTGTGTCTATTTGGAGCAGGGAATACTTTCATGGCTGATGAGGGGAACATACATCGCTTTTTTTTTTTTCTTTTTTCTTTTTCGATTCCTTCCATCTTGTTTAGGTCTTGTATTTATTTTTCTTGATTTTCCAGTCACGGAGCATCTCCTTTCAATCTTCTCTCAAATCGTTTTCTGGAGGGGGCTCAATGCATCCCACACTCCTTCAAATCTACCTCTTCCCTCCTGTATCAACAGTGGTCGGCCACGCCCATAAATACCAAGCGTCATGCTTTCTACCCCCAGCGCACGCTACGCCCCCTCTACTTCCAACCTTTCTACCATACCTCCATCTGGTACTGCAGTGGCCCTGTCTAGATTGCTTTCCCTCTTCCTCACCACGCTCGTGGATGCCCTCCTTCGGATGAGCAATGGGGATGTGTCTCGTGTATGATGTGTCGTGTTGTGTATGTATGTATAGTAGATGATCAGTACACTGTTAGCTTTTTTTGATACAAATCTGAATCGTAATATATTGGTGCAATGGATCCGGAGATCTGGCGGTGTGACTCATAATGAAACACCAAGTCACAACCATCGACTACTGCTCCCGTGCTAAAACGAAAAAAGAGAAAGGAAAAGGAAACAGTGGTGCAGGACGAGTTCAGACCCAATGCTTGCCTCATACCATAGAAGTAGCACCGTAGGCAATGTCCTGCAGCCAACGTGCATTCTGCCTGGAAATACGGAGTAGCAGGCCACGACACAGGAAACGAGAATGAGAGAGCCCCAAGGATAGCCAAGGGATCATATGACAGGTCCAATGCATCTCTCCTCGAGTAACAATTGCGGTATCGTACTGTTCACAGATAGACATGGGAAAATTCGACACGTCGGCTGCAGTCCCTAGTGGCCAGCCACTGAAAAACCTATTCGGAACAGCTTATTACATGAATGTCTCCGTACTCCTCAATGTTCGCCATCCACCCACGCGCCCCCGAGTTGGGGGATAACTTTTACTTCTTCTCATCGCTGCTCCCCTCCGCGGCGCCATTCCGGTAGGGCAATCCACTCTTCACCCGGACGGCGCCATAAATCCCCGTGATGTCGGCCTTGGACCCTTCATGCTCCTGCACGAGCTTCAGGTGCTCCCGTGCAACCTCGTAGATGGGGACGGAGGCGCCGCATGCTTTGGCCATATCCAGCACCTGGCCGGTGAGGGCCAATGCCTTGTACACCTCGACGATGGGCTGCAAATAGCAAAAGCGTAGTGTGTCAGCTGGGGAAGTGAATGGGAGAAGAAAGGTTGAGGGTAAGATAGCCGCGTACTGTGCCTTCGTAGTACTCGCCCGTCAGCATGCGGTGGTTGTAAATGGCATGCGGCGGGTTGGGGAACATGGCGCCCATCAGCTTGTTCATGTTCTTGGTGCCGATCCCCGACTTGTCCGCAAAGACGTTGACCTCCGCCACCGTCTCCATCGTCGTCATGATCAGGAAGTTGCCCATCAGCTTCAGGAGGGACGAGGTGCCCGGCTCTTCTCCGCCTAGATCGACGATCGCCCGACATACCCTGGATTTGCGTATGAGTTACCGTACACATTATTCCCCGGCGGAATTCGTTATGCAGTTGGGGAAGGGAATTGGGTTATGTTGAAAACTTACACGCCCTCCAGATATGGTCGGATTCGGTCTACCGATTCGGGCTTCCCGCTTGGGATGCAGATGAGTTTCTTGGCTGCTGCTACCACAGGCTCGCCCATGACTTTTTAAAGAAAATTGAGCGTCAGAGAATGAGAGAGAAAGCCAGAGTTTCTGTCAGCAGGATAGCGAATTTCCTTACCTGGCATCGAGACGAACTCCCCGCCAGCTTCGATGACCCGTTTGGCTGTGGCATTGGACCATTCCGGGGCGATGGTGGAGCTGTCGACGAACAATTTGTCGGTGATGTTGACGTTGGCCGCAAAGATACTGTCGAAGACCTGCTCCACCGCGGACTGGTTCTGCAGGCATGACCAGATGATGTCGGAATTCTCGACCGCCTCCTGCACGGTTTCGGCCACTTTACAGTCTCCTCCGAGATCAGCGCTGTGGGCGTCCGCGGTGCTTTTGGTTCGGTTCCAGAGGGTCAATGGGCTGGTGAGATTTCCATCGCGGTGAAGGTTGCGAGTCATTGCCTGAAGCTCTTATCAGCATAGTTCCTTGCCGTGGGACTTCGAAAATATGATGATTGTAGGACGGTGGGGATATGGTTTTTACCTTGCCCATCTCTCCCAGACCGATAAAGGCCATTCGGGAGCCCATGTTAGGTGCGACTGTCATCTCAGAAGTGGATGGTGTTGCACTGTGTAGCTTAGCTAACCTAGGGAGAAGGGAGGGGTTTCTCAGAGGAGGTCGCCAGCCTCTTATAAATTGCATTTCGGGGGAGTGTGTCGTCCAAGTTTCGTCAGGCGGGGTCAACGCCAACCTTCTTCTTTCCTCTCAAATCGCTTACCCTGCACCCATCCTCTGCGCTGGCATCTTTGGGCACCATCGATTTATGACACAGCAGAAGCAGGTGAGGCCCTGCAGCATACCGGTATCTAGTCTTTTGGTTTGTGCATTTACTACTGTTGGTTATAAGGCTCGATGATCGTTGATCCAGAATCAATTGAGTACTGCTACGGTGGAAGAACACCATTCCGTCCTCAGCATCTCTCGACCATGAGCTTTCATGTCATGTCACAGATCATAAGCCACTACCGGCAGCTGCATATATGCGTCTGATTCACAGGAGCGTCTCATGGTGATTCTGCATAAACGAGGAGTGGAAAGCAAGGGAGGCCATGATATATGCGGGACTATACTCACGTTTCGAATCCCTCGTCTGTCCGCCATTTCCGCTGAGCACCGTCTCAATCCATCTCGCTCCATGCTATACATTGCCCAGACTCTTGGCTTGAACGCTTGTCGGGCTATAGCCACATGTGTTGAAGAGCCCGGGCGACACATCGCCATGATGCTTCATATCCGCGGATAGGATATGGCAGCCCTCATTTGGCGTGAGAACAGCTTTGGTTGCTGGCCAGAACCGGCCGAAGCCATGTCCTGGTAAAGAGTGATGGGTTTGGCAGCTTAACCAAGCCAATCGAGGGCAGCTCTAGGCTCATTATCTTTCCGATAGCTGGGGTGTGGCGGTGACTACCTACTGTCTCGGTCGACCAAGGGCAGCTCAGACTGGCCCGCAAATACAAAGTATGCTCCAGTACTCCATGGCAGCTCGCAGGATCGACATCACTGCGCCTTTCATGTCACAGTCTTGGCGAGCAGGTAACGGCAGCGGTCTCATGAATCAAACGGGATGGCCGGCATTGACCATGCGTCTTTAATTGAAGTTTATTGACACACACCACTCTGAGGACCTGATCCAGATTGCTAACCTTCTTCGCAAATGCGGACTCGATTCGGATCCGTGTGTTCGGACGAGCAGTCTCGTGTTCAATTGACTGTACGGAGTACTGTACGTCTAGATACGATGATGAGCATTAACCAAAGTAGCCTAACTGACACTGTCAACAAGAAAGCCAGCTCATTTGCATATCTCGGACGGCTGCATATTTGCCAAAAGAGTGTGATCCTCGTTAGCCAAGACAGCACTGCGGCTAGGCAAATGGTACTGCCCATCATGCGTTCCTTGAAGCTCCAAACCCTGGGCAAGTAGGGTTATAAAGGTGACGCGCCGCGACGTACTGTGAAGCTATTTGACTCTCAGTTCTCCATGTCCTCACTCCCCCATCCACCTTCTCCATGACTGACACAATGTCTTTTCGAAATTTACAACATCTCCTAGAGACCATCGCTGCGAAAGAAGGCAGCGGCAATGTCGTCTCATACCCTATGGGCAACCTGCACGAGCCCAGAGTCTTCTCCTACAGTCAGCTATTCATGCTAGCCTTGAAGGCGTCCTGGGCTCTTCGCTCGAGAGAAGATTTCCGACCCGGAAGCGTGGTTCTGCTTCATTTCAATACTCACTGGGATATCATCGTCTGGTTCTGGGCCGTTCTCTTCGTTGGATGCCTCCCTGCCTTGTCGATTCCTTTCTCCAACAACCCAAACCACCGCACTGCACATCTTGAACACTTGTCAAAAATGCTCAACAAACCTCTATGCCTGACACGGGCCGACCTCTTGCCCGAGTTTGGAGGACAAGAAGCTATCGACCCAGTCGCAGTGGAGTCACTCGATGTGGACAATGCCCCACCAACAGATAGCTCCGACATCTGCCGAGATTCAAGTGCCAGTGACAATGCAGTACTCATGCTCACCTCGGGGAGTACTGGCAACTCTAAAGCCGTGTGTCTAAGTCATGGGCAAATTCTGGCAGCTATTGAGGGTAAATACGGGGTGGTCGAGCTGCCGGAGGGAACCTCATTCTTGAACTGGATCGGTCTGGATCATGTTGCCGCGATGATCGAGATCCACCTTCAAGCAATGTACGGGGAAAAGGACCAGATCCATGTCCAAGCTCCCGATGTCCTGTCGAACCCCACGGCCTTTATTGACTTGATCCACAAGCACCGCGTCTCGAGGACCTTTGCTCCCAACTTCTTCCTCGGCAAGATCCGCGCTACCATCAAGAGCCAGGGAGACTCCGTTCAACACAATTGGGACCTGAGCTGTCTCCGATACATCGCATCCGGTGGCGAGGCCAACGTGACCAAGACCTGCGAGGAGGTGGCGAAGCTTCTGGAAGAGCACGGGGCTCCCCCCAATGCTATTATACCTGGATTCGGAATGACAGAGACCTGTGCTGGAGCCATCTTCAACACCGATTTCCCCCGGTACGATGTGCAAAGATCGTCTGAATTCGCTTCTGTGGGGTCCTGCATGCCTGGCATCAGCATGCGCATCTCCGACGGCGAGAACAACCCCGTGCCAGCAGGAGAGGTCGGGTCTCTCGAGGTTTCGGGTCCCGTAGTGTTCAAGGAGTACTTCAACAACCCGACTGCGACGGCCGACGCCTTCACCACGGACAACTGGTTCCGCACCGGCGACCGCGGCGTCATCGACGAGGCCGGGAACCTGACCCTGGTCGGCCGCGCGAAGGAAACCATGATCGTGAACGGGGTGAACTACTACCCCCACGAGGTCGAAAGCGCTCTAGACGAGGCGAACATCGCGGGCCTGACGCGCAGCTTCAACTGCTGCTTCTCGTCCTTCCCGCCCGGCGGCGACACGGAGGAGATCATCGTCGTGTACCTGCCCACCTACGTCCCCGAGGACATGATCGCGCGCGTGCAGACGACCGACTCCATGTCGAAGGTGGTGATGATGTCGACGGGCTGCCGGCCGAAGCTCCTGCCGCTGGACCGGGCCCTGCTGCAGAAGTCGGCGCTGGGCAAACTGTCGCGGGCCAAGATCAAGACCGCCTACGAGAAGGGCGAATACCAGCCCTACCTCGAGATCAACGAGGAGATGGTCAAGCTGTACCGGCGGGTGACGCGCAAGGACCCGACGGACGCGCTGGAGCAGCAGCTGCTCTCGATCTTCACGACGTCGCTGGGGCTGCCCGCGGGCGACTTCGACGTGCAGACGCCCATCTTCGACATGGGGATCACGTCGATCGAGCTGATCAAGCTCAAGAAGAACATCGAGGAGCACCTGGACTTGACGGCCGAGCTGCCCATGATCACGCTCATGACCCACAGCACGGTGCGCGACCTCGCCCGCGCCCTGCACGACCTCCAACAGACGAAGCACGAGTACAGCCCCGTGGTCAAGCTGCAGGGCCAGGGCACCAAGAAGCCGCTGTGGCTGGTGCACCCGGGCGTCGGCGAGGTGCTGGTCTTCCTCAACCTGGCCAAGTTCCTGGTCGACCGGCCGGTGTATGCGCTGCGGGCGCGGGGCTTCAACGACGGCGAGACGCCCTTCGAGACGATCGCCGAGGTCGTGACGACCTACCACGCCGCCATCAAGCGCGAGCAGCCCGAGGGGCCCTACGCGCTGGCGGGCTACTCGTACGGCTCCATGCTGGCCTTCGAGGTCGGCAAGGTGCTCGAGCGCAACGGCGACGAGGTGCGCTTCCTGGGCTCCTTCAACCTGCCCCCGCACATCAAATCCCGCATGCGCCAGCTCGACTGGAAGGAGTGCCTGCTCCACCTCTCCTACTTCCTGGACCTGATCACCGAGGCGCGCTCGCGCGAGTTGTCCCGGGAACTGCAGGACGGGGACAAGTCGCGCGACGATGCCCTGGCCCGCGTCATGGAGGAGGCCGACCAGACCCGCCTGAGCGAGCTGGCGCTGTCCGAGGCCGCCCTCGTGAAATGGGCCAGTCTGGCCTTCTCGCTGCAGAGCATGGCCGTCGACTACGACCCGTCCGGGACCATCGCCGGCATGGACGTCTTCTACTGCATCCCGCTGGCCGTCGTCGCCGCGTCCAAGAAGCAGTGGCGCGAGGAGCAGCTGAGCAAGTGGGAGGACTTCACCCGCTCCCAGCCCCGCTTCCATGATGTCGCCGGCGCCCATTATACCATGCTCAGCCCCGAGCATGTCTTTGGCTTTCAGAAGACGCTTCGCGCCGCTTTGGATGCACGAGGCTTGTAGGTTGGGGTGATCGGCGATGGGTCATTGACCGAAGAGGCAAACGTGCGCTTCATGGGATTAAGGTTTGAGTAGGTCGTGCAGGGGAAAGCCCGGAGAGACCGACGGACGCATGAAGGAGTAGATAGGTACTATTTGTGTTGACTTGAATATATGGCTTACTGTTTATGGATGAACTATCGTTCCGGTAGTTCTTGCTCGAGCAAGAGTGTTTCTCGATTGTTTTGTGTATTCAACCATATATACACATATGCTTTTCAACGCCGCCCCGTCACCGATTCCAGATAAACCTGCTGCTCCCTGAGCGAAATATAAGACAAGAACACATTCAAGAAGAGAAGAAAGGAGACCAAGGAGAAGGAACTAGCCCCGTACAGGATCTCAAATAAAAAGTTTGAGAAGAAACAAGAACAGCATATCTTTCCAAAATGTGACACCAAGATATTTACCCCGCATATTCCGATATAACGTGTCCACCTACGACTCTAACCAAAAGAGTGCTGCGACCGGCCAGAAGTATATATGCTCACCGCCTACTGGCTCTTCTTCTCTTCCTGGACAGGCTGCTCAACCTGCTCAGCGGCCTGGCGAGGAGCCTTCTTCTTGCCGCTGCCCTTGTATTTGGGCTTGGCAGACAGACGAGGAATGAACCGGCCCACGCGCGCCTGGTACTCGCGGTACTCGGGGTACTTGCCGGCGCTGATGGACTCGGTGAGCCGGACGCTGCCCTGGAAGATGAGCAGCAGGCCGACGACGCCGACGCCGGTCCACTGGACGTAGGACTCGGTGCGGTAGCAGTTCCAGAGGTACAGGGTCAGCCAGATGGCCTGCTCGGAGAGGAAGTTGGGGTGGCGGGAGACGGACCAGAGGCCGTTGACCACGAATCCGCGCTCCAGGTCCTCCTCCGTGAAGACGCCCTTGTACTTCTCCGGGATGCGGGCGGTCTGCTGGTACTCGTGCTTGGCAGTCTGGAAGTTCCACTGCTGCTGGTCGGAGAAGTACTCAATGAGCAGGAAGAAGAAGGCGACGCGCGAGAAAATCAGGTCGGGCAACTCGAACGACCGGTGCTCCGCGATCTGCGCCAGGCAGAGGAAGTTGTAGGTCGGGGCGGTGATGAGGAGCAGCAGCAGGGGCTGGATCAGGCTGATGAAGGTGATGTTGAACAGGAAGAAGACGAATCGGTTATCGTTGACCCACGAGCGCACGATCTTCCACCGGTAGTCCTCCGAGCCGATCGAGTAGCCGCCCCGGCGCCAGTAGTTGAAGGTCAAACGGGCCTGGATGGATATTAGTAACAACGAGGAGTGAAAAGGTGCGAGGGATAACTGACACTCCAGAGAAGCGTGAAGATAGCAATGGTGTCCACGCTCTGGGTCTGCAGACCACTCAGGCGAGCCCAGACAGCGAAGTGCACATTGTACAGAGCAGGGAGGATGCTCCAGCACCGATCAACCTGGGAGTAATTGCGGTTGATCTCGGAGGTGATGACGAACAGCACGGATAGCACCAAGGTCAAGCCAAGCGCCGAGATAAGAGGGTTGGTGGTGAGGTAGATCTCCTTCAGGAGGGTCGCATCCTTGGTCGCCGCAGCGACCTGCAGCTGCTGGGGGAGGGTGGTAAGCTGCGACAAGAAGGGTAGGACAGTCTGGCTGAAGGACGCACAGTCCACGGCTGACTTGACGTCAGGAAGCGGTAGCGCCATCTTGAGATTTAAATTGGAGCTTGTGATAATTTGAAGTTGCTGCTGGGGTGATGGGGGGAAAGCTCTCTCACATGGGAGTGGAGAGCGCAGGATGGAAAAGCGAGGGACTAAACAATTGAGGGAAAAACAACAAACAACTTGGAACAAACAACAAACAGCAAACAGCAATTGCTGAGGAGCTGCCACCTTGCCATTTTCGGATATCACCGGGAGCTTGGGCCACTCCGACCAGATACATTCCTGCCTGAGGCAGCATGTGAGCATATCACAACCTCAGGCATCAAGCTCTAAGTTACGCCCAATCCGTGATTTCCTTCCCGTGACTCTCGCGTGTCTTTCGGCGCGTTCCGGTTCTGCTTCCAGGGAGGAATGACCGACAATCGAGTCTTACAGGAGGAAAATTCTTTTGAGACAGAAGTATCATGGAGACTCGTTGATCCTGTCTCCCTTGGTCCAGACACCTTGTCATGACGAGGATCCTATGTGTGGCCGAGAAGCCGGCCATTGCCAAAGCCGTGGCCCAGCACTTGTCTGGAGGCACATTCCAAACAGTAAGTGGCTTCAAGCGAGTTGGAAGCATTGTAACGTATCGCTAAGGTAGATGTAGAATAATGTAACCGGCAACCGATATGTGAAGAACTACTCGTTCGATTTTAACTTCGGGAGCACGTGGGGCCATTGCAATGTCACGATGACCAGCGTCCTCGGGCATCTGACAGACCTGGAGTTTGCGCGAGAGTACAAAAGCTGGCTCTCTTGTCCCCCGGGGGCCCTGTTCGAGGCTCCAGTCTATGAAACCGTGTCTTCCGTACGCAGCCTAATCATCTCAAAACTCGGGATGTTGAGCAACTGATCCGTCAGACAGGACAAAACAGCCATTGCAAGGAATATCCAGCAGCAAGCACGACAGAGCAAAGCTCTGTTCATCTGGACGGATTGCGATCGAGAAGGTGAACATATTGGAACCGAGATTCGGAAGCAGGCAAAGGAAGGAAATGCTCGCATCCTCGTCAAGCGGGCCAGATTCAGCAATACTGAGAGAGCGTAAGTTGTCGTTCAACTGGTTGCGAGGTGAGGCTGACCCGTTCATACAGCCACGTCTTGAATGCTGCTCGCTCGCTGATAGAGCTTGATGATCTTCAAGCAAATGCAGTGGCAGCGAGGATAGAGCTTGATCTCCGCATCGGTGCCGCTTTCACTCGGCTACTGACTCTGCAGCTGAAACCATTATCGAGCGCTTTGGAAGATACCGTCGTAAGCTATGGTATGTGAACCTCTTGGTGCAACTTCTCCCGATGCAGCTTCCTGATCGATGTGTAGGATCCTGCCAGTTTCCCACCCTGGGGTTTGTGGTTGATCGCTATCTACGAGTGAAGAACTTCAAACCTGAGACATTCTGGGGCATCAAGGTCATGCTACAACGAGAAGGAATCAAGGTGAACTTCTTGTGGAAACGTGTGCATCTGTTCGACAGAGCCGTCGTGACCATCATGCTTGAGCGGTGCCTTCTCGCCAAAACAGCCAGGGTCACCAAAGTCAATCAGAAACCCACCAGTAAATGGCGGCCCTTGCCGTTGACGACGGTCGATTTGCAAATGATGGGCAGTCGATTCCTTCGCATGGACAGTCAGACAATCATGAAGGTATCGCCACTACCAACACCTCCCAAAGTGGACTACGCGCCGCTAACCACGAGCGTCAGGTTGCCGAAGCGCTCTATACGAAAGGTTTCATCAGTTACCCACGTACTGAAACCGACCAATTCGACAAGGCCATCGATCTGAAGAAACTGGTTGAGAAACAACTCCCAGACCAGAATTGGGGTCAATATGCTCGAGAGTAAGATCATTGAGATCACAGTCAGATCCTTGTAAGTTCGCTGCTAATAAAAACATCGCAGTCTCCTGGACGGCGGCTTCCGAACCCCACGAGCAGGCCACCATAACGACCAAGCCCACCCTCCCATCCACCCCGTCTGCTGGGTCTCGCCATCCGCCCTCAGCGCCGATGAAAAGAAAGTGTACGAGTTCGTCGTGCGCCGCTTCCTCGCGTGCTGCTCCGAAGACGCCAAGGGCCAATCCACGGAGATCGAAATTAAATACGGCGACGAGATGTTCCACGCCAAGGGTCTGCTCGTCCTCGAACGAAACTACCTGGATGTCTACGTCTACGACAAGTGGGAGAGCAGCCAGCAGCTGCCGAACTTCCAGCTAGGCGAGCAGTTCGAGCCGACGGAGGCCAAGATCTTCGACGGCAAGACCACGGCCCCGAACTATCTGACGGAGCCCGAGCTTATCGCGCTGATGGACGCCAACGGCATCGGCACCGACGCCACGATGGCCGAGCACATTGCCAAGATCAAGGACCGGCACTACGTCGCCGTCAACACGCGCGGCGGCGGCCGCAACGCCGTCAAAGAGCTGATCCCCACGCAGCTGGGCATCGCCCTGGTCGAGGGCTACGACAACGTCTTCGCGGGCATGCCGAACAACCCGTCCCTAAGTAAGCCATTCCTCCGGAAGGAGATGGAAACCCGCATGCGCGAGATCTGCGCGGGATCGCGGGTGCGGCAGGAGGTCGTGCAGGAGAGCCTGGATATGTACCGCGAGTACTTTGTGCATACCAACCGGCGCATCAGCGCCCTCAAGGATGCCATTCGCAAGTACCTTCCTAACTGAACCGGGTGCTGTATCGGCGCATTTCTGGAATTGTTTTTGGTCAGTGAGCATAGATTGGCGGAAAGTATAGGAACATTGATACCCTGGGACTCAGTACGATTATGCATGTCGAAAAGGAGCGGAATCTTAATCTAGAATATATGCTATTTATCATTTCGTGGCTATTACGCCGTTTTAGCAACTAGATACACGGATCTTTAGGCGTTCGAGTATACAGAAGCAGGTATACAAGGCGGACCGAAGCACAGTAACAAAATGACAAAACACTACAGGACAGGAGCATTGATGATCCATTCAGACGTATTAAACGGGCAATGAAATCATTTCCGATTGACACCTTTGGAGCATCCCTATTAGGAGTCCTTCTCCCGCCCTGAAACGCCTTCTTGCTGCCGCCGCGAGTGTCGCATGTTTTGTCTGGCTCGCATCCTTCTCGAAACCAAATCAGGTCCTCTTTCCACAAAGCCCGCGTATTCAACCACCACTGCGAGGCTTGGCTCCTGCAGAACGAACTGGTGTAAACACACACCCATGGTTCTGTGTTGCTTAACTAAGAACAGTTTGTTACAGTATTGAAGTACAATGATATGTCAATTTTAGAGAATAATGTTAATATATCTATGAAACTGTGTACCAGAGAAATACATATCATTAGTTCCACCATGTTACTACTATGTAACCTTTAATAGATACACCATTGCTCTCATTCATGGATTTGCCATTGTCCATTCGATCTTAGTTGTGAATTGCATCAACGCTATCACCAGCCTCTACCCTAGTTTGGGAGTAATCTCCCCCACCCCCCAACCCCCATGCCTCTCTCCATGTCCTTGCGGAAATCAGGCAAGTCCAACACCTACGCCAACTGCTTCCCGAGCACAGCACCGTAGTAGACCGTAGCACCCAGGCAAACCATATTAACCAAGCTAGAGATACCGTGAAGACGGCCGAACTTCTTGTTGAGAGCGATCATCTCCTTGGAATGGGGCGCCGGGTCATAGCTCTTCTTGCCGTCGCGAGTTTCTGGCACCCCTCGTCAGCGGAAGATGCCTTCGGCTTAGTAGCCAGCAGTAAGGCATGGCAGAATCTTACCCTGGTGCTTCCGCTCGCGCATGACATTGACCGTCATCGGACGCAGGACGGTCAGGTTGACGAAGCTGGCGATGGCGACGGTGGCCATGGAAAGGAGCGTGCCGCGGTTCTCGGGCTCCAAAAGGCCGGAGACGCCATGCAGCTGGCCCGCCCGGCTGGCCGTCAACGCAACGACGACGGGCAGCGCGGACTGGAGGGAGAAGTAGATGGGGAAAGTGGCCGTCTGGAGCTGCGCGAACTGCGGCCGAGGCAGGGCTTTGAATGCGATGACGCCCGACACGAACGACTTTCATGCCAATTGTCAGTGGGGTTGAGTTGGAACTATGGTAGCCGCGGCGGCATGTGTATGCCTACCTGGTAGATCTGCACACCCAAAAGGGTGCCGTAGCTGTACACCATAATATTAGCGGATCATGCGGATAGATGCTTCCTGGAGTACACACCTGAGAACGTGGTATGGACGGGGATCAACCATTTTGTCGCTTGCTGTGTAATATAAGAATTATCTACGCTTGCGGGGAAAGAGGAAAGGCTATGGGTTGTGTAAGTACTCAGGAGCAGCTCACTCGGATTGAAATGGCCGAAGGATACAGTTAAGTTGCCTGATGCATCTAAGGCGGGGGCGGGCGGTTGTAGCTTATTGCCACCTCAGACTCATTCCCTACCGCCCCTCTATTTCCACATCCACCCTTCACTCTCCCACCAACACACAGCTCCCACGCACCCACTCTCACATAAACACGCACCTCAGCGGACATGATGTCATGTGCTTTCGCGTTCCGCTTCCGTCCCAAAGGGGAAATATCACGCGTCTGCCTGCTCACCAGCGTCGACTTACTTTGTCTGCCTACGCTTCTTGCCAAACCACTTAAAGCTAAAGCTTCGTTCGATACTCGCAAATCCAAGACATGTAATTTGGTGGCCACACAGCCATGGCGGACAAAGAAGCAACAGTCTATATCGTGGACTTGGGGAGGTCCATGGGGAAGCGATACCATGACCGAGAAGTGACGGATCTCGAATGGGCCATGCAATATGTCTGCGACCGGATCACTGGGACGGTATGTGATTTCCCAACGTCTACCTCTGATACAAACTTACAATAATATCGCAGGTGGCCACTGGACGTAAAACAGCCGGAATCGGCGTGATCGGGCTCCGGACCGACGGTGAGTGTCACGAAGCGATGTTGCCAACGCAAGACAAGACTCATCGTTCAAATAGACACTTCGAACGATCTGGAGGATGACGCCGACTTTGCAAACATCTCGGTGTTTTCGGGCATCAAACAGTGAGCGCTGCGTAGTGCGATGGAGAAGTCCTTTGTCTGACCGTGTCGAATTACAGGTTTCTCATGCCTGACATTCGAGAGTTGGGTGAGAAGATAGTCCCAAGTCAAACCAACAAGGGTGACGGTATATGCTTCCATTCTCCTCTGACCAGATCTGTGGCCCTCTACTGACGAGCTCAGCTATATCCGCCATCGTGCTCGCGATCCAGATGATCATCATACATTGCAAGAAACTTAAGTACAAACGCAGAATCGTCCTGGTCACCGACGGCAAAGGACCGATGAATACGGATAGTCTCAGTGAGATTACGAAAAAGATCAAGGAGGACAATATCGAACTCATCATCTTGTTCGTGGCGGATGCTCCTCCGGTTTCTATGATGCGTGCTAACCTCCTCACAGGGGCCCTGACTTCGATGATCCGGACTATGGGGTAAAAGAAGAAGACAAAGATCCGCAAAAGGTAAACCCCCGCATCAGATTGTCAGGGTAATGACACTGACCTCGGTGCAGGCAGAGAATGAAGCGATCCTGCGAAGTCTAGCCGAAGACTGCGACGGAGCCTACGGAACGCTCGAGCAGGCCGTGGCGGAGCTGCAGATCCCCCGAGTCAAAAGCGTCCGAGTAACAGCAACCTTCAAAGGATTCCTGCAGCTCGGGAATCCCGAGGAATACGACACTGCGCTCCGCATCCCCGTCGAGCGATACTTCCGCACACACGCCGCAAAGCCTCCATCGGCAAGTCAATTCGTTCTCCGCTCCGACCTCGCCGCTTCCCAGGAACAACCCGAATCCTCTGCCACCGCGGCCGCTGCGGCACAGGAGTCTCAGCCAATGGATGGAAATTCTTTGACGAATGTCCGGAACCTCCGAGCGTATCAGGTACCCGACGAGGAAGCCCCAGGTGGGAAGCGAGACGTGGAGCTAGGAGATCTCGCCAAGGGCTATGAATATGGCCGAACGGCCGTGCATATCAGCGAGACCGACCTCAACATCACGACCCTCGAAACATTCGCAGCGCTGGAGCTATTAGGCTTCATTCAGAGCGATCGTGTGCGTCCCCTCTCACCCCAGTACAGATATGCCTGGCAACATATTGACCGGGACCTTTCCAGTATGACCGGTACATGCACATGTCGACGACGAACATCATCATCGCGCAGCGCGCGAACGACAAAGCCGCGCTGGCGCTGTCCTCGTTCATCCACGCGCTGTTCGAGCTGGAATGTTACGCCGTGGCGCGCCTGGTCGTCAAGGAGAACAAGCCGCCGATCGTCGTCCTGCTGGCCCCGTCCATCGAACCCGACTACGAATGTCTCCTGGAGGCGCAGCTGCCCTTTGCCGAGGACGTCCGGACGTATCGCTTCCCGCCTCTCGACAAGGTCCTGACCGTGTCCGGCAAAGTGGTCACCCAGCATCGCAATCTACCCAACGAGGACTTGATGGATGCGATGGAGAAATACGTGCTGGGCATGGAGCTGAACGATACGGATGAAAACGGGTAAGACCACCTCCCTCCCCAACAGACCTCACAGTCTCAGTTTCAAATGCCGCTGGCTAACACCCCTCCCCCCCTTCCGCTCTCGCAGAGAACCAATCGACACACTCCCGATCGAGGATTCATTCTCTCCGGTCCTACACCGCACCGACGCAGCAATCCGTTTCCGAGCCATCCACCCCGACAAGCCCATCCCTCCGCCGTCAGGAACTCTAACAAAGTTCTCTCACCCGCCCCAAGACCTGATCGAGAAATCCCAGCCACAGCTAGAGAAACTCATTGCCGTCGCCGACGTGAAGAAAGGTTTGCACCTCCCTCTTCTGCCCCGGGTCCCCTCTCTCTCCATCCCACTAACAACTATATGAATTCCAGTCCCCCCCAAAGCCAAAGGCCGCAAACGCACCCGCGAGATCGAAAAACCGCTCTCAGGGCTGGACGTCGACGCCCTGCTCCACCAGGAGAAACGGAGCAAGATCTCGCCGAACAACGCGATCCCGGAGTTCAAGCAGACGGTGGCGCAGGCCGAGAACATCGAGACGATCCGGGAGGCCGTGCGGCAGATGAGCGCGATCCTCGAGGATCAGATCCGCCACAGCTTGGGGGACGCCAACTACGACCGGGTCACGGAGGGGCTGGGCACGATGCGCGAGGAGCTGCTGGCCTACGAGGAGCCGGCGCTGTACAACGAGTTCCTGCGGCAGCTGAAGGAGAAGGTCCTGCGGGAGCGGCTGGGCGGGGACCGGCGGGAGCTGTGGTGGTTGATCCGGAGGAGTCGGCTGGGTCTAATCGACCGGCTGCAGTCGGATCAATCGGAGGTCACAGAGGAGGAGGCCAAGGCGTTTATGTCTGCCAGTGCTGCTGCCAATTAGGGCGGTTCCAGATGGGACGAAAAGTCCACAAATAAATTCATCCAACATGTCATACCACATGAATGTCATGCGCGCCGGGTGCTTAGTACATTGGTACAGTACAAGTAGACAATATAAAAGTCATCGCTATCAAGACAACGACAACAACAACAGGAAGAACCAAGAACAAGATCCGCTAAAACAGACAAGAGAGATAAAAGCCATGCATATGCAAAGGTATCCACCATGCAGAAGCCCCCAGATCCAGGTCCTAACAAAAAAGACCCATTCCCTGACCAGAGCCATATCAAACCAACCCAACTCAACTCAACTCAAGAGATCCTCCCAATCCTCTTCTTCCCGATATCAATCTTATCGCCCAACCTAGAACAAACCCACGAATTAGCAACCCCACTTCAAAACCACCACCCCTTCCCCCCGATAACAAAAGAAAGGAAACCAACCTCGTAGCATCCTCATCCGTCAACTTGAGCAACTCATTCTGCACGACCAACTCATTATTAATCGCGACGCCCAGCTCCTTCTGCCGCTGCACGATGCGCATCAACTCCTCGACGGCGCCATCCTGATCCTGCATCATCTGCTTCTGGAGCTGCAGCACCCCGGTATTATCCAGCTCGCGGGTGCGCTCCGTCTCGCGCCCGAGCACGCGCCCGGCCGCCCGCATCGCCTTCTTCCCCTTGACCGGCAGATGCATCAGCGCCTCCTTGTCCTGGATGGACGCCACGGCGGAGTCGATGCGGCTCTTGGCGGCCATCGCGTTCAGCAGATCCTCCAGCCCGTCCTTTTCCTTGCGCGCGTTGATGAGCAGGTCGCGGCGGCGGCGGAGCTCGCCGTCGCCGAGGCGGGGGTGTGAGCCTTCCCCGGAGGATTGGCCGGTGGTGGTGGAGCCGCCACTTGTGGTGGTGGTGCCGGAAAAGTTCTTGAGGCCCGCCTCCAGCGCCGCGATCAGCGACCCCGCGCGCACAAGACTGCTCTTCGCCCGCGCCGAGCTCTCGTGCTGCCGCTGCGGCGTGGTCTCCTGGTCGCGCCGGGTCAGGTGCAGCCGCGCGTCGTGCAGATGGCCCTTCATGTCGCGGTAGCAGTCGAGCCACAGGGTCGGGTCCGTGATGGTGTTGTTCGGAGCGTCCCCGGTCAGCGACGTGATGCTGCCCGGGTCTGTGATGGCGGCGTGGAGTCGCGCGCTCGTCGTGCTGCTGTTGCTGTGATGGTCGTTGAGGGGGTTGGCGTTAGGGCCCAGGCTCGGAAGGTTGAGGAATGCGCGCCAGGCGGGCGAATTGCGCCATCGCGGGTCGGCCGCTTCGTTGATGGCCCGGAGGTAGGTTTCTAGGGCTTGCCGGCGGGATTCGCGGAGGGTCGCGTTCTTGACGGTCGAGGAGAGCCAGGATTTCGGTGGCAGAGGGGCTGGGGGCGCGGCGTTGGTTTGGTTGAGCAGGGTCGTGTGGAAGGTGGTGAAGTCGGAGTAGCGTTTGGAGATGGTGAAGGAGCGGAGGGGGAGGCGGAGGGTGATGTTGTAGATTGTGAAGGGGGGCGAGGTGGTGGAGATGCTGGTCGTGGGGATGGCGATTTCTACAGGCGGCGCCATGGTGGGTTTGTAGCTTGTACTCAGTGAGTTTTAGACCGGTGGCTGGTGAGATGATAACATAACTTGGCGGAGGTATGAGTGAATGAGTGATGGTGAAGATAAGGAAGCGGTGGAGATGAACTGGAGGCGATGACGATAACCGCTCCAATTCTGCCGGGGATGTTTGTTGTGTTTGGCAGAGGCTAATTTAGAGGCCGCCGATCATCGGCGGCGAGCCTGAGTATAGTATAACGTTACCGATATAGTCCATCGAAACAACCATAAATGAAATACCAATTTGCAACAGGGTATCTCTAGATCAAATGCATCTTAGATCATCTCCACTCCGTCACTTCCCTCCAGAACTCGCGCGCCTGCAACAAGTCCCGCTGGCCGTAGTACTCCCCAACCACCGTGATGACCATATCCAACATCGCGCGAATTTGCAGTGCCACCTCCGACGCAGCGCTGTTGCCGTCTGCATCGTCGTTCGGTACCTCAGCATCAGCGGCGCCATCGCCTCCAAGACTCGCCTGTAACCGTGCCTTGGCAGCTTCTAGTTCACCAAGGTCAGCTTGCGGAGCACTTGCGTCAGCGTCAGCATCCGCATCCGCATTGGCATCTACGTCTACATCTGCATCCCGCATCTCCAGATCACCCTCGACCCCATTGCCTGTGCCAGAACCCTCTCCCTCTCCTTCCCCCTCCCCCTCCATCTCTCCCTCTCCATGCTCCTCCTCATCCTCACCACCCCCCTTCCTCCCATCCCCCCCCTCCACCTCCCTCATCCTCCCCAAAACCCTAACCGCCCTCTTCCCCAAATCCCGAATCTCGCCCACCTCCTCCGTCCCCAACTGGCCCACCTCCCGACACCGCGCCAGCAAGCCCCACGCCCACGCCGCGATCCGCCGGACCTTGGCCTCGTCCCCGCTGCGCACATTCTCCGACATCACCCGGGCCATGATCCCCAGCACGCCGAGCACGCTCTCCATGTCCATGCACGCCAGCTGCACCGTCTGCGGGTCCACCGCCAGCAGCAACCGGCGCCACTCGCGGCGCGCATTCCGGGAATGCCGCGGGAGCGAGATCGGGTGGTCGTGGTCCAGCGCGGCGATGGCGTCCGGCGGCGGGGTGCATTTCAGGATGGAGCGGAGGAGGAGGAAGCGGTGGTGCAGGAGGGTGTAATATGTTGATTGGGCGGGGAGAATTTCCAGATCGGAGGGTTGTTGGTGGTGGGACGATGATGGTGTGGTCGTTGAAGGGCCGGTGGCGGGTTTGCTGTCGTCGGGGGTGGGGACGAAATAGACGCCATCTTGGTAGATTCCCTCGCGGAGAGTGGGGGGAGAGGTGGTGGTGGTGGTTGTTGTGGTAGTTGTGGTGGTAGCAGTTACGGCAGTAGTAGTAGCGGTGGCTTGAGGATGTGGCTGCTCTGTTTGGTTCGTCATGTCTGTGCTGACATCAGGGTTCGTAGTCTCTGTTGCGATCGAGGTCGTGGCTGGTGGCGCATTGAACAGGAAAGGGAGGGAATTGGCTTCGGATCTGGGAGGTTATATTTTCATATGTCAGTCACATAGCTTCACATTACTAAACCAGCCAAGCAGGCATCGACCCACCGGACCATTCGCAGATATTCCAATCCATCTTCCGCTGGTCCGTAGAACAGCTCGTCATCGCCGGCGGTGTCGAGGCCGGGAAATGCGCTTTTCTGTCCATAGACAGGATGGTTGCGAGGGCGCTCGTAAGGCGTTACCGTCCGCGGCGTCTCCTCTTCATCCTCCTCGTCGGCGTACGAGGCGCGAGATCGTTTCGCATAAGGCGAAGCACCAGATGCTGAAATAGACGGTTTGCGTTTGTCGGGCATGCTGGACATTGCTGTTGGAAGGCGGACTTGGGAGGGACGGAGGGAGAATTAGACGCGGCGCTGATGATAAGATTCCGCCGGAGAGGGAGCTTGGGCCACCCGCAGTTTTCCCTCGGCTCCGAAACTTACTTATAGTTAGTACATGCAACTACGATCATTCTACCTCGTTTGTCACCGCTTGTATATGCAACAAAATATCTACGACAAGTGCCAAACAATGAAAATCTCGTCACTCCATTACATTGTTTTATCCAGGGCATATCCTGGTCTAAGGACGTCTCTCTCGGTCTTCGTCTAAGGGCGCAGACGCTGGGGGTCACGAGGGAACAACGAAGTCAACCGCACGTTAGGCAAGCCCAGGAAGAACATGACAATACGGTTCAGACCCAGACCACCACCGGCGTGGGGAGGACATCCCTGGCGGAAAGCAGCGAGGTAGTCCTCGAAGCCCTCCGACTTGGGGTCAAGACCCTTGGCAACCATGGACTCCTCCAGCTCCTTGATGTCGTGGATACGCTGAGCACCAGACATAATCTCCTCACCACGCATGAAGAAATCGTACGAGTTGGAGAAGCGAGGGTCCTGCGGGCAGGCCTTGGTGTAGAAAGGACGGACGGCCATGGGGAACTTGTCCAGCACGTAGAAGTCGGTGTCGTACTTGTCACGGATGATCTGGCCCAGCTGCTTCTCCATCGCCGTGGTGAAGTCGTTCTCGAAGCGTTCCTGCTCGGAAACATCCACACCAGCCTCCTTCAACAACGCAACACCGTCCATGTAGTTAAGACGCAGGGCCTTGCCATCCTTGGGCAGCTTGAAGTCACCAGCCTTGGGGTAGGACTTCTGGATGATAGCGATCTGGTCCTTGTAGCGCTCCTTGATCTCAGTGAGGATGAAGACGAGGAGGTCCTCGGCAAACTCCAAGACCTCGTGGTAGTGAGCGCGGAAAGTCTTCTCGAAATCGAGACCGGTGAACTATTTACAGTCAGTCTGATTCATATGTAACAAGGACGAACAAAAAGTACCTCGGTCAAGTGTCTGTGAGTGTTGCTGTCTTCGGCACGGAAAACGGGGGCAACCTCGAAGACGTTCTCCATATCACCGGCAATACACATCTGCTTGTACAATTGGGGGCTCTGAGCGAGGTATGCGTTTCTCTTGAAGTACTTGACCTCGAAGACGTTGCTACCACCCTCAGTAGCAGCACCCACCAACTTGGGGGTGAAGATCCACCGCGAGCCGCTCTTGATCATGTACTCGGTGAACAGCTGGGCCACACCGCTGGAGATCCAGGTGATAGCCTGGCTGGTCTCGGTCTGGAGATCGAGGACACGGTTGTCAAGGCGAGTCTTCAGGGTGACAATGGGAGCGCCGTCCGCATCGACCTGGGGTCCTTCCTCCGTCGTCTCCGGGGGCGGTCTCTCGGCATCCTTAACCTGCATGGGAAGCATCTGGGCGGCCTCGGAGATGATGTAGACCTTGCGAATGTGCACTTCGTGGTCGCTCAGGGTAGCGGAGGAAATCGAAACGGCGGGCTTCTTGACGATACCAGTCACCTGGACGATCGAGTTGACATTGAGACCGCCGGTGAACTTGATCATCTGTCTCGAGATGGGTTCCGCGGCCGCAATGACAGCCTGCAGCTTCTGACCCTGCTGTCTCAGCATCAGGAAGGCCAGCTTGGCGCTCTGCACACGGGCATTATCGACACGGGCCACCACCGTGATCTCCTTCTCGTAGTGCTCGTCGGTGATCTCGGAGAATCTCGTCGCGGGGAGGACATCTTCGGACTCGGGGAGGTTGCCGTAAAGGCCCTTCGCGGTGTCGTTAGCTTCGGCGGCGGCAGCCTGAGCCTTCTCCTGGGCAGCGCGCGCGGCGGCCTTCTCGGCCTTCGCCTTCTCCTTTGCGGCCTTCTTGGCGGCGCTCTTGCTGGCGCTCTTGGTGGGCTCCGCGCCCTCCGCGGGGGCGTCCGCGGCGGCGGCGGGGGTCTCCTCGGGCTTGGGGCGGGTGGGCAATTCGGAGTCGGCCATGATCACGGGTGTGGGCGCGATGAGGATGGGGTGAGGAGGGTGAAAAAGAAGCGATAGAACTAGATAAGAGCATCGAGCACGCAGAGCTCCAACTTTCTCTTTTGAGTCACCCCGCCCGACGGACCCCGCTGCCCTAAACCCTAGGAGGGGTGATCACCTGATGCGCGGTGAGATATCTATGTATGGCTTATGTAAGGTGTATAGCATAACTTAGTTCAATCAGGTAGATCAAGTATACCGCCAGAAACCAGCCTGTTAATTAAGCTCCCCTTTTACCTTACCAGCCCTTGTTCAATATCGCTGTATCATTCTTATCAAAAGAATTGAGCAATTTATATAGTTATCTAAAACGTGTGTCGCTAATCAGACCTGGTAGGTAGTAAAGAATTCTATAGATACAGAATATATGCAGCTCGCTAAGCATGTTCATGATAAACCCAAGCCAGCTCACTCTTTCTTCATGCCCGCCACTGGGAGCTCTTGATTCCCCACTCAACCGCTTTGCGAACGTTGTCGACGATGGTTGTAGGGGTCCATGTTGGTTCACCGCCACTGTAAACACCAGTTCGAACGAGGATGGAGTGCCACTTGCTACCATGTCCGCTGCGGTAGCTGTTGGCACCGCAAATATCCGACTCTGGGTTGTCACCAATCATGTAGACGTTTTTCAAGGGTGGCTGGACATTGGCGCCAAACATCCGCTCCCGGTTGCGCAACAATTGACGCTCCGCAAACTCGTATGTTCCTTGATAAGGTTTGCCAATGACGGTCTTCTTCAGCTTCACACCTTTGTCGGGACCTCCGGTCACTGCCGTCCAGATACCCTCCAAGGATTCGCGGAATCCGCCCTGGCCAAGACGAGGCAGGTGGTAACTCGCAGCCCACCAGAGGTCAGGATTCGAGAAGTAAAGGTGCGGCTGGCCATCCTGTAGGTAGCCATGGTTCGGAAGATCAGTCCGGCCGTTCTTCTCCGAGAGCGTTCCGATGACACCCTGCGAGGAGAGCAAGAGGTCGGTGATAATCTGCGCGTCCAGAGCCCAGTCACGCGGGTCGTTGAAGACAAAAATCGCATCGATCTTCAGGCCCTTCGAAGGGTCATTGGGATCTTTCGGGTTTGGCAAGGGCTTGGAGATCTTTTCGTAGTAGCCCTTAAACGACCGAAAGGGCCAGACGGCTGGATTTGCCATGTAGATGTCGCCAGGAGTTACCACGTTCTTGAAGCCATACTGATGTGCCACTTGGCGACAGCGGTCGCCTTCTCCTCCCACGACCAACACGCACTTGTTCTCCAATGGGCCTGGACCCTCCGTCCCATGCACCAGCTCTGCGAAGGGCGAATGACTCTGGACGATCAGTTCTGCGTCCAGGGGAATATTCAGCTTCTCACTAATCTCAGCCACTCGCTCCGTTTCGTGCTTTCCACCGCCGTTTGTCAACAGAAGGAACGGGATGTTCTGCTCCTTCAACAAAGCCAATGACTCAGCTGCTCCGGGGATGGGCTTGGAGGATCGTAGAAGGACGCCATCAATACTGACATTGAGTTAGCTCGTAATTCCCAGTTCTCAGCTCTCTATATCTTACTCGAATGCAAAGGCAAAGTCGGGAATGTTCGCTTGAGAGCTGACGGTCTGGATAGCCCGACGACCGGAGCCTGCAGTGATGCACGACCGGGTGGAAGCACGCTGAAGTAGCGCAAGGGACCGCCGGAAGGAGGTCGATTGCATGATGAATATGATTGCTGTGTCTGTTATATAGCAATTGACAGCAACTCGGGAGAAAAAACACGCTCAATGGTTGTGCACCTAATGAATCCGAACGAACAGGAGGAGCAGTGGAGGACAGGCGGAGAGCGAAGGCGGAGAGAATGCGGGAGATTCCCTTATCGCTCAGATGATATCATCAAATTTCTCTCCTCCGCAATTTCCGCTCTTCACCATCACTGCAAGCATAAACAAACATCGAATTTCACCCCTCTCTTTTGCATTTTCACAGAATCAATACATATACATATAGAGTCTACTATGGAAAGACCTTCCCTCACCCATCATGACCGCCTCTACGTCGCATGAGATTTATCTCCCCACGGAGATAGTCGTGCAGATTATGTCCTATGTCTCCAACACTTCAGATAAAGCAGATCGTCGACAAACAACCCTCTACGCATGCTGCCTCGTTTCGCGACAGTGGTACTCTGCCGCCATTCCACATCTCTATGAAAAACCTATATTGCGCTTCGGTCCCTCGTTCACCCAATTCACAGCCACCATCAGCCCTCCGCTCCATGTTGCGCGCAAAAACAAGTTGAAGCTCGGCTCATATGTGCGCCGACTCGATCTGAGCGGCCTCGTCCATCACAGCTCTCCCAGCCTAACAGCCAGACTCCTGGGCAAAGTCAAAGAGAATCTGGTCGTCTTCTCTGCACCGCGTGTATCATTTGCGTACGCTATCCCGCATCCTAAAACCCCATTTAATCTTTCTCACAAAACTAACTCACATCGCTACCAAACCAACAGAATCAACAGCCTCCCCGCCCTCTCCAAATGCACCAAACTGCAAAGCCTCGACCTCTCTCTCGTGGGCGACTCCTTCCCCTTCCTCGAATTCAAACGCGCCCTCAGCCACCTGACCAGACTCACAACGCTCCGCCTCCCGCGAACCCACCACCTCACCCCTCCGCCGGCATCCACCCCTCCCTCCACAGCCACATCCGCAATCCCCTGGCCGCCGCGCCTCCAGAACCTCCAGCTCACCGGCGACTTCAGTGCCAACCCGGCCCTAGCGCGCTACTTCAGCTGGCCGCCGGCGCTGACGAGCCTCATCCTGAAGAACTGCAAGGACCTCGACAACTCGCCGCTGACGACGCTCCTCCTCACCGACCCGGCCCTGCCCACCACCCTCCGCCGCCTCAAGATCGACCCCTCCAACAGCCTCTCGCTCACCTTCGTCAACCGCCTCCCGCTCACCCTGCCCGACCTCGACTACCTCAGCGTCCCCGGCGACACCCTCGACTTCACCTTCTTCGAGAACCTGGACGAGCGCGTGCAGCTCCTCCGCGAGCCCGTCGCCTGGCGCACGCTGGAGCTCGACCACCCGTGCTCCGAGGACACCGCCGCCAGTCTCATGTACTTCACGCCGGGGACGCTCGTGCACGCGCTGCAGCACGGGCTGGCCCATGTGCGGGCCGTGGGGATCTCCGAGGCGTGGGAGTTGAAGGGAGGGGAGGTCGAGGAGATCGATGCGGTGTTGCGCAGTCGGTTCTCCAAGAAATCCAAAAACCAGCAGCAGAGTGGCCAGATTAGTGCTGGGGGGATTCCGTCGCCACCTACATCTGTCGATGAGGATGAAGCGGTTGATGACGACGACGACGACGACGACGACGATGATATCGGTGTCTACTACCTTTAGAAGACAAAAGCCCACTCTCCCTCCTCTCGGAACATAAAGTCCAAGAACTTCCCCCCGGTACAATCCTCTTCAACACATGATATGTTCATCTTTCTCAAAACTCCATGACCCTGCACATGACGCTCGATACATGATTTCTGCAATATATACCCAAACCCCACACTACAACCCAAACACACCCAACACCACAAACAAACCTATTTTATACTACAAACCCAACCCAACAAACCCAACCCACCAACCAAGAACAAAACCCCCCCCAAAGAAAAGACGAAGAACCACAATCAAGAAAAACACCACACTTCCATCGAAACCTCCTTCATCACCCGCCGTTCATATCTTCTGTCAGCATTCGCTTACCCTCAAACTATTCGACCCTGGACCCCGCATTACATACACGTCACACAAACCAAAAGATTTCAGTTATAGTTACCATCGGAGAGAGTTTATAGTATAGCTGCGTATAGTATGTATGTATATTCATTGCTTCCAGAGCCTTGACTCTTCCGGCTTGCCCTACTTGTGAGGAAAGAAATTGAAAGGATATATACCTCGATCCTAAAGACATAACACTCGCTCAATTGTTCTAACCATGCCCAAGTAAACTACGGAATGAACTTGAGGACCGTCATTTGGCTGATGCTTTGCATCAGTGTACAGTGATGGAAACCCAGCGACTACTACTCTCAGATGGAAAATGAGCATGCGAATTGCGAAGCTAAGCCAAACGAGGACATCAGGCATGAAAAGGTAGACTCATAGAGAAGAGTTTAAGATTGATTGCTGTCAAAGAGAAAAAGAGGAACCAACAGCAACAACGGGCCCAAGCGTCGGGATCGGTACGCCTACGCATCACGAATTTTTATCGCATCTATAATCGACACCAGGGTTATAGAAGACGAAGGAAAGAAGAAAACATTCGGATCGATGGTGGAATATAAAGTAGAAAGGTTGGGGAGGAGAACAACAACGTAGGGAAAATGGAGAAAAGAGAAGACTTCGAAATCTCATAATGCAGCACTCGTCGCCAATTAGATGCGCGCCTTTTCAAGAACATGCCTCCATTATAAAAAGAATTTACACAACTGGCCACAGGCATTTAAGCAACGGACGCAATCACAGCGGGGGCAACGCCTTCTTCCTCCGCCCGAACGGTGATCTTGGTTGTTACTCCAGTCTTGCTGGAGAAAGCCATCTTGATTAGTGCAGCCACCCGGCCTCCGGTCACGGTCTTGCCGAAAAGTTTCAGGGTATGCGTGCTGTTGCTGAGCGCTACATCGGTGCCCTCCAAAGGCTGCAGTGAAAGGGTGGAGATAAGCTGTTCCGTAGCATCTGTCCCACAATTAGCATCTGGATGGCTCTGAGTCGACTGTCGGAAAGTATGTGCTTACCTGCAATGCCCTTCATGTTGCTGAGCTGAAGAGTCTCGCTGACCTCCTCTCCGTTGGCACCCGTCTGCTCCCATACGTGGTCGAAGCTGCCGGCGAAAGTAGGAATAACATAGTCGCTGCCCGTAAGGTCCAAGTCTTCGACCTGGTATTCGTCCTCGTATCCAGATTCCTCCGCCTCGCCAGTAGTGGGATCGATCTCTTTGCTGGTGAACTTGAGTGTGTTGGTGAAGGAAGTAACAGGGACACTGTGCTCGCCAGCAAGCTTCTTGAATGTAACATAGACAATACCAGGCTCGTTGGTAGCAAGCTTGGGGGCAGGAACAATGAATTCCTCTTCCAGAATGTCTTCCTCTTCTGGAACTGTGACCATGGTCACGTCCTCGAGGACAGTATCGGGGAGAGTGTTCTTGATATCGTATTGCAGAACAATATGCTCCTTGAAAACGTGCTTGACAGCGGTGACGACATACTCAGTCTCGCTTTCCGTAAGTTCAACGGGAGCAGAGGACTTGAGCAACGTGCCATACTCCTTGAGCTCGGGAATCTGCATGAGTTGCTCGGCGTATTTCTGGATGACAGCCACGGTAGCAGCCTCGGCCACTCCGTTGGCCTTGCTCTTCGGGGGTCCGGTGGTGGGTGCCTTGAGCGTGGGTGTCGCGCTGGTGAGCTTCTTCGTCCGCTCTTCGGCCAATGCCTGCTCTTGTGTGACAATTGGAATCGTGGAGACGTCAAAGGCCGCAGCAAATGTTTGCTTGTCATTCGACGTCACGTACATCACGAGTTGATGCTCGAATGTCGACAGGGAGTACATCGATTCTGCAATCATCAGCGCACAATTCGAACCTGACCGCGATGTGCCAGGCAAGACTTACCATTGCTGATGAACTGGGAAGCCTTCTCGTCCTCTTCGCTCATCAAACGCAAGTTGAGAGCGGCGCGATCACGCACTTCATCATCAACATCATCCAAACAGCGGGTGAGAAGAACGGAGACACTCGACTTGACCTCAGGATCCTTTTGGCCAACGCCAAACTTGGCCAAAGCGGTCACGGCGGCAGCCCGGACAATAGCATTCTCCAGAACGACGCGGTTGTAGATGTAGCGGATGTACTTGGTCGGGTGGGACGTCTTAGGACCTTCCACACCGAGTAGGTGCAGAACTCTGACGGACAGCTTAGTGAATTCACAGTCCTCGATGAACTCACAGAGATGCGCAAGAGCTAGCAGACTAATTAGCTTGAGTCACAGTTGCAAACATAAAGGGAAAGCTCACCGTCTTCCTTGCTTTCAGGGACGAACTTGATAAGGTCGAACATGCTCTCAACAACACTGCGCTTGAACTCATAACCACCCTCATCCCTCAAGATGCCGCTCAAGAACGCCAGCATACCGGCCTGCTTGCTAGGGAACTTCAAGCAAAGGGTGCGGATAGCCTCAACAATGGTAATCTTGAACTCGTCAGTTATATCAGCCATAAAACCGGAGATCTGCTTCATGAGACGGTCGACGCTAGCCTCATTGCCCGTCTTCAGGAGAGTAGTGATGGCGAAGGTGGCGATGGAGCGGTTGGAGTTCGAGATCAGCGACTCGATATCGGGGTTGCAGACGTTGACCACATGGGGCTTGAAGGAGGCGAAGTTGTGGAGAATGCGGATGGCCGCAAACTTGGTGATCGCGCGAGGCGAAGACAGGAACAGCTGCAGGACGTGAACCGCCTGGGAAGCTTCCGCGTCGGAGACATCGCGCATATCGCAAATAGCCTTGGCCGACTCGAAGTTCACCATTTCGTGCTTGTGTCGGAGCCAGCCATCAAGCATCTGCATCATCGGTTTCCGCAAGCCAGGGTCCTCTTCCGCCAACTTAGCCGCCAATCGCACCAGAAGAACCAGCGCAGCAGGGCTCTTGACCACCCCAGCCGCACCATACTGCTGTACCATCTTGACGAGCGCCATCCGGTCGTGGGAGCGCATCTGGTACAGGAGTCCGATTGCGTGGTACTGGGTCATGAAGTTCGACTGCGAAATGGCGTGGGACTGGGAGCTGCCGCCGAAACCAAGGAAACCGGTCGACTGCTTGCCGCCAGATGCTGCCTCCTGAGTCTCGCTCTGCCATCTGCGAACGACATCACGCGCGATAGGGAGGAGATGGTAGGATGAAACCAGGGCTGCGGAGGAAACCGACGGGGTCTTGTCAACGATGGCGGTCTTGATCAATCGCTCGATACCTTGCACGGTGGTGGCCTTTATAGGTTCGACAACGGTCAGCTACTTCTTTTCGTGATTCAGAGTATAGGGTCTGCGCCTACGTCGATAATGCGGCACAAGGCGCGGATGGCGTTCGCCCGGTAGAGAACATCACTGCCCACAGCCGTGTCCTTCATGATGATACTGGTCGACATGATCACATCCTCGGCGGTGTTTGCCAATTCCTTCAGGATCAAGTAGACCATTTGCCGGAGGGAGGGGTCCTTGTTCTGGAACAGCTTCGAAATGCCGAAGAACAGGGTGGTGGCCTCGTTCGTGGGGAACTGCTCCCCAGTGAACAGGAGGACCGCGATCTTGGTCAGGAGAGTGCGGCATGTTCGAGGAGATATCGGGGAGGAATTGAACAAGCGGGCTAATCCAGCACAAGTGGTGCGAGACAGTCGTCAGTAACGAAGATCAAGGGTGAATGCGACTGTTGCAGGAGTGTGTGACACAATGAGAGAGGACTGAAGAGGCTCACCATCTTGAAATACGGAGGTTCGGTCCAACTTGATCATGGTCTGGTCGGCGTCCTCGTCTTTCTTAACGTAACTCATGATGGCTGATGGGCTGCAGGGATTGCCGCAGCAGCAATGAGATTATAATGCGGTCTTCAAAGTAGCAAAGGGGGTAGCCCCGTAGGAGGTGAGGGTGGTTGATAGTGGGGGGGGGACGTGGAAGGATGGATCAATCAATGGTGGCTTTGAATAAGGGCGGGTTTCGTATGACGGTTCGGACGTTGTGCAGGCGGTGGATTAAGCACTATGGCGCCCTCATTATCCTTCCAAGGAGGAAAGAAGAGACAGAAAAGAAGAATTTGAAAAGAAAGCAATCAGCAAGTGGTGCCCGTCCCGAGGGAGAAGTCGCAAAGCAACAGGGACAATTGAGAGGGCAGATGGTGGAGGAGGAGGAGGAGGATGTTTTGGGGCCAGACTGGAAGCAGCAGTAGTAGTAGGAGTAGTAATAGTAGTACCCGTAAGTAACAGCCAGCAGCAGCCGCAGCAGCCAACAGCGGCAGCTCCTCCTCGTTCCTGCCCGGCGGCCAACACAATCTCCAGGTGGCCTTCCGCGTTTCTGTGGGTGGCTGAGCCACAGGGCGGTGTGGCTGCTGTCCCCCTTCAAGGCTGGGTGCAAACACTCCAAACATGCGGCATTGAGATATGCCCCTCCAACATATGTCATTTCATTTGTTGAATCGTGTCAACCTGTTCTTCAGATACATTGGAACGCAATATTCACAATGCAAGTCGAAGTCAATCCCAATGAGGATACCGAATGGTCAGCAGCTCTCCGACCACCACCTCCTCATCCGCATGGCTCACCCACCTCCGCAGGAATGATATCCTCCGCAAGCATGGCATCATCCCGGAGAAGCCCAAGGACCCCGAACCGTTGATCCAAGAGGCGCTGATCGAAGCGGAGCGCAAGGCGTATGAAAATAGACTCGAGGACAAGGATCTGGACGAGTTGGACGAGCTGGAGGACGAGGAAGACGAGGCATTTCTAGAACAATACCGGTACGGTGATCATGCGAGCAGCCCCCTGGTTGAGACCACTAACGTATACCACGAAACGACAGTCAAAAGCGACTAGCCGAGCTATCTACGCTGCAGCAAACGAGCGTCCACAACCAAGTCTACCCGCTCCAGAAGGTTGACTACGCCCGCGAGGTCACGGAGGCCTCGAACAGCTGCTTTGTCTTGGTCCATCTCAGCTCCTCGACCGGCGGCAACGTCGAGTCACAACGGTTGACGGAACTCTGGCGGACCCTGGCGGCCAAGTACGGAGATATCAAGTTCTGCGAGATCCGGGCCAACATGTGCATCGAGGGCTATCCCGAGCGCAACACGCCCACGATCCTGGTCTATCGGAACACCGAAATCAAGAGACAACTGGTGACCTTGCGGGACCTCAAGGGTCCGCGCACGACTGTTGAAGGTAAGAGAGGAGGTTTTACTACTGTCCTGATTGAGTTTTTTTTTCTTTCTTTCTATTCGCAGGCGCCCACTAACCGCGCGGGCGTACAGACATCGAGAGACTGCTCCTGGATTTAGGCGCTCTCAAGGAGAGTGACGTTCGCCTGAAGAAGCGATCGGACTCATCGGACGATGAACGTCCGGCTATGGCTAAGAATAAGTCCATTCGGCCCATGGTCCAGGACGATGATGACGATTGGGATTAGACGCTGCGTCGCGATACGCTTTCGTCACAAGCGAGATGGGCAGATTGTCGAAGTCGGCAACGATGCGGTCCACGAACAATTCGCACACTTGGCGGATGGATACATCCTTAGTTATCGAGGCGGCAGTCCTATTGATGAAATGGTCCAATGTAGCAACCATATCGCACGTCCGGAGCTGAGCTCGGGAGAATGGAAAGCTTTCAGCTTTGAGCGCTGGGCTCTTGCCGTCCTCGGACTACATTCAGCTTTCCTACCATGGAAATGCCGACCTGGCTCTTTAATCTCAAACTTGAGCTATGTCAAGACCAAGACGATGAGATGACTAAGAAGAAAGTTACCTTAAATAGAACCCTCAAATGCGGTCACTGACCATGATCTATAAGCAACATTGCAGACTGAAAAAGCTCATGGTAGGTGGACAGAATCAAGGCCTGTGTTTCCAATTGTAGTAAGAATGGCCTAAATTTCAACAAGTATGTATACTTCGCGAGTAATATGACCACGGCACCGTTGCGATACTCCGATGATCTCCTTTTCAACGCCAACGAAGGTCGAACAGATGAGGTCGCCCACGTCTTTTGAGAGCACGAACGCTGCCGACCAGTGCTCGTGTAAGTGTGTTAGTGATGCGTTCAACCGGACGTCCCATCATATACCAAGCAGAACGCCAAACTTATCATGAACATCCAGAAATCAAACTCGCAAGTAGATGGGTGTTTGAAGAAAAATGAGCGAGAGAGAAAAAGAAGTCTACGCTAGAAAAAACAGGGATATCATATCAACTCGTCACTGCATGCGGCAGAGCTCTCCTCGATGGCCTTGCGCACCTCACTCTCGCGGAAGGCCGGGCCCGTGCCGTCACACTGCGCCGCGCCCTTGAGCCGTTGGTAGACGTCTGCGATGTTCAGCGACCCTCGCTTGAAAAGCTCATGTTCTTGGATATATTCCCAAGTGGCTCCGGCATCCAGGAGCCGCTCACCTGTGACCTGACAGGTGGTCACTCTGTGGCGCGGCGGAAGCTCGCCCGTGGAGTCGGAGCCCGGGTTGAAATCGGTGGGTGAATATTGCAGTGGTCCAGTCGTCGTCGGTTCCGAGCCCATAGATTGCTGGTTAGGCGGCCGGAACGAGCCGGACGTCGCCTTGAGGATCTCATTTTCCGTGGTGAATCTGGCCAGCTCGCGCTTGAGTCGCTCGTTGTCCGCCATCAGGGTGTTAGATTCCTGCTCTAGATTGTTGACTTTCTCCTCAAGCTCGCGCACATGCCGTTCCTTGCGTTCGCGAAATGCGCGCTGACTATCAAACAGCAAACCATCAGTCAGCGGGCAAAGCTCCCTCGAAATGGAAACACCCCGCAAGGCAACCAAAGCCCAACGAAAGAGGAATTCACATACGCAGCTCTATTCTGTGCCTTCCGCTTAGACTGTGCTGGTGTCACGCTATCCTTCTCCTCGCTGCTACTTCGGCCCGGGTTGAAGTCGACAGGAAGATCATCGGCCTCCAGGGAAGCCCGGTCGAAGTGGGGGTTGGCGACATCGCTGCTGGACACCGATTGCTTGGTCAGGGATTCGGGCGGCGAATGCGGGGGAGGGACAAAAGAAGAAATGCCATGAGCATCCGTAAAGCGTAAATTCGGATCGAAGGGCTGGTAATTATGTGATCCCTGAGGAAGATAACTCGTTTTAGGTCACAGCGTCTCAAAAGGTGTACGGGGGGCAGAGGCTGCGAACAAGATGAGGAAAAGTGCCCTGGGCATCTTCAGCACGAGGCACCTGGTCCGGGGTGGGTAGCCCGTGTAGGTTGTATAGTGGATAAGGCTGCTGCTGCGAGTTGGGAGTAGAATAGAAGGAATAATCCATCTCTCCTGCAGTTGAATCCGTCGGGATTCTTGTCTTGTGATTGCTGATAAATGCTGATCAATAATTGAGTATCCGACGGGACAGGAAAGGCTGACGCCAAGAATGATCGAGAGGGGAGTCGGGATAAGAGATGGAACGGAGATGGTGGATGAATCGATGAAGAAAGAACGGGGTCTGGTCCACGGGGACACCCACGGAGGGGGGCTTACCTATTCCAGTTGAGTATTACCTTACCTAAGACAGTCTAGACTGGATAGGGGGGCAGGACCCTCAAATGCCACCAAACCAATTGAAGGAAAGGTTTGGTTGAAGCCTGGAGGAGACTTTGAGGGGCGGCTCAGCTCAGAGGCCCGAGGGCCGATCAACCAACCCCCCCCCCCCCCCCGGGCTGCCATTGGGGGCTGCCATTGGTTTGATCGGGCCACCGCCATGGCCACCCGGCATCGTCCACCTATCTGGCACAATATAACAACTTCAATTACAACATGAGGGACCGGGAACCCGACGAATACGACGATTCTACAGAAGGGATACCAATTGCTCAAGAATAACAATCTGTGGGATTCGAGGATTAGGGGCGAGGCTGGAGCTACCGACGTGACCCGAGCATGCGAATGCCCGAACATGGCCAAGTCCGTCCGCAACGTGCAGCAGCCCTCCTCCAACTGTCCCTGGTGATATGTGATGTGATTGAGTGAGGTTTAGATAGAACGCAGAGCAACATGAAACATCATCAGTGAAACAACGTGAATCGACGCAGAAACCACCCCGGAAGCGACCCTAACCATTTTCCGTCGCCGAATACCCATATGCCGAGACATGCCACTCCCCTGGCTGTCCGAAGCTCTGTATGCTGACTCTAGTCCGCCGTCAAGTCTAAGACCCTCACTGCATGACCGAAAAAAACATAGCACGAAAGCGGGAGGACCACCAAAGAAACAGCCATCTTCTTCACCTTGCACATACCCTTCCCCTGAACTTTCACGTCCCCACTGATGCGTCAATAACAACATTATGACAGTCTGAGAACACAAAGAAATAAAATCACGGATGACAAAAAGCACGCAATCGATATAGAAGGGGCACTGTAAGGCAGAACAGTCCGAGAGGCCGGAAGAGATTGTCGGGCAACAGCGGCTAGTCTCGGATACAATTTGTTGTGCTTGAAAACAGGTTGTTTCGTTCTTGCAATCTCCTTCGGTCAAGCCATCCCGGTCACTGGATGTAGTCTTCACAAGCTGAACGATGATCGGAGGAGTAACCATGAGGACCGAGATGGTGAGACGTAAAATAGCCGCAATTAGAACGTTTTCAGTCTGCCATCCAGGCCCTTCCATCAATGAGTTGTATCTCGTTCTTCGAACGCGAAGAACAGCACTATTTTCACGGAAGGGCCTGAGACAGCCGATCAACAAAACGTGACGGATCGAAACGGCGAACCGGAAGACGATCTTGAACGGGTAACGGGCCAACAGAGAATGCAGTAAGGAAAGTAGTAAAGAAAGATTGGTAAAAGGGAACACCCCCTGGCGAATAAGTCCGAAAGGTTGACTGCAGGCTGCAAAAGGTCACCAGTATCGTCGATAAGCCTGGGCTCCTCAGGATAGATATAGAACAGTGTCAACACGCAGGAAGCTGAACGGAATCCCGAGAGAAAAGATCAAGCTACACTGCTAGGTCGCACAGATCAGTACCACTGAGCACCGTACCCATCGTCCTGCTTCGTACGGCTACGGGCGGCAAAAGCACCTGAAGCAGCAACCCTTGAAGCAGAACGCAGCCTAACGCCGAAGACTATGAGATTAGTCAGATTCCAGAATTCAAGTCGACCTCTACGTGCAGGGTCATAGCAAAGAACCAAACGCAGAGGAAAGGGGTTCCCTACACGGAACCTAGGTTTCAGATACTCACATCCTGTCACTCCCTCCGACAGCACGGTTGGTGTCCGGGGTGTTGTCAAGAGTTCCACGTTCGATGACCTTGCGGCGCTGGCTGGAGATAGCACCGGGCTTGGCGGCAGCACCCGGAGTACCCATGGGTGCAGCAGCAGCAACACCCTGGCGGCGCTGCTGCTCCTCGGCCTCCTTGTCCTTCTTGTTGGCGTCCACGATCATGGCGGCATTCTTCTGATACTTGTAAACGGTCCAATCGAAGACGTAGTCATACTGGAAGGACTCGCGAACGAAAAGGTCGCGGAAGATCTTGCGGAGGTATGAGTAATCCGGCTTGTCATCGAAACGCAGGGAACGAGTGTAGTTGAGGTAGATGGAGAACTCGTTGGGGAAACCACGGCACAGAACCTCGGTAGGGGTAGTCATCTTCTTCTCCATGATACGGTCGTACTTCTGCTTCTTGGTAGCAGCCTTCAGGCCCTGCCAGGGCAGAGTACCACGGCAGAAGTAGAGCATGACGTAGCCGAGAGACTCCATGTCATCACGGCGGGACTGCTCGACACCCAAGTGAGTGTTGATACTGGCGTAACGAGCAGTTCCGGTGAGGTTCTTGTTCTCGCGGTAGGGAATGTGGAAGTGAGTCTTCGGGTCGCGGTATTTCTTGGCCAGACCAAAATCGATCACGTTGACCTGGTTGCCACGCTTGCCGATACCCATGAGGAAGTTGTCGGGCTTGATATCACGGTGGATGAAAGACTTGGCGTGGATGTACTCGATACGAGAGATGAGCTGATCAGCGAGAAGGAGCACCGTCTTCAGCGAGAACTTGCGGTTGCAGAAGTTGAAAAGGTCCTCCAGACTAGGACCGAGCAGGTCGATGACCATAGCATTGTAGTCACACTCGGTACCGAACCAACGCACGAAAGGAATACCGACACCACCGGCCAGAGACTTGTAGACACGGGCCTCGTATTCGAGCTGGGGGTGCTTGGCCTTGACACTTTCGAGCTTGATAGCGATCTCCTCGCCGGAAATGATGTTGGTGCCTGGAAGACAGTCAGTGCCATTTTCTCGAGGAAATATTTGATCCTGGATCGATCACATACCAAGGTAGATATCACCGAAACTACCGCTGCCGATCTTGCGGCCAATGCGGTATTTGTTACCGACACGCAGATCCTTGATGTGCCGTTAGCGAAGGCATACTGGGTGGAGGCGTGCGGAGATTACTCACCATGGTCGTCATTCTGATCAAGTGTAGTCACAGCAACCGGCTGTGATCGATCTCTTGACGAACTGTGCTAGGAAAACTCAACAATTAGCCACAGCCCGGTCGAAGCAGGAGAACAAAGGCAGTTGATAACGTTGCAGATAAGACAACAGACACAATTGAATACTAGTATGAAAGGAAGGAATGGAATGTGTTGTAAAGGATGTTCAACCAAACACAGCATGCAGATGGGCGCTTAGATAGTGAATAGGACGGACGTGGAGCAGGCAAATGGGGTGGGGAAGGCTGACAACGGCCCCAAACAAAGAAGCAGTAACAACGCAGACGTGACACGATGAGGATAGTATCTGGGGAGGACGAATGAAGGCTTACCAGGTATAGATCAGATATCTTACAAAAGTAAGATGGGATGAGGGAGGGAGGTGGATGATTGAGGGGAAGCCGACCGTGAGAATCCGAGCGGATAGGCGAAAAAAGGCGGAGAGGGAGGGAAGAGAAAGGGGAGCTGAGGTGATGGGCCTTTTCGAACGGGCGAACACGGGAACGGGTCGACGTGGACGTGGACGGAAAAAGAAAGAGAGCAACGAGACGAGACGGACAACGACGCTACGACGAAGATAGAGGAGAAAACACGAAGGAAATGAAGGCAGCGATATCAGCCAATATTCATTCAAGGACCAAGCCTTGACAAGGGAAAGGTGGTATGAGGAAGAAGAGGAGGAGGAGGAGGAGGAAAGAGGAGAGGCGAAGGGAAGGAGGAGAGGAGGTGGTGGGTGGGTGGGAAGAGGAAAATGAAAGCAGGTCAAATCGAGTAGAGGAGGGGGGGAGGCGGGTAAGAGAGAGTACAGTAAGAGAGAGAGGGAATTGAGTGATAAGTTTAGCACCAAGCAGAGACAAGACCCCAAGCAAATGCAGTGGTTGGTTGCGTTGGGTTGGCCCCGGTCTGGCTCTGACTTCACGTTTGGGTGAATACGCAAAGATACGAGGTGGTAATTTTGGGTAAATAAAAAGTACCCCAGTATACGAGTACATAGTAGCTCCAGTATATAGGTATATAGTCATCAGACCTTGTGCTTGAGGACAAGACATCTATAGTCAACTAGCCTGTGGTAGTGAATGGAAAACACTCCGAACACAAGGCAAATTCAATCACCATTGAAGTCTACGACTAGGTCTCCCAGTTGCAGCGTGGCTGAGAGGAGGAGTCGGTGAAGAACAAATTGCACATCTCCCGTCGGGTCTGTCAACGGGTGGCCAACTTCTGACAGTCATCAATTCTTGCCCTTCGAGCCTGGTGGCAGTCGCGACCCAATTGCCCTTCAATCGAAACTAGGAAAGCAGGCAGAAGAGGCGGGCAAGTAGGCTGACAGTTCGACAAGATTTAGGTCTTGACGCCTCCTAACTGTCTCATGCAGGGGGAAGTTGTTTGGTCCTCGATAGAGGAATGACTATACACATGGAGGGATTTCAAGCAAGCCATCTCCAGGGTGATGTGACTTTTGGGGGATGCCTCAGACCCAAGGGACTAACGTAAAAAAAAAAAAGAAAAAAAAAAAGAAAAAAAAATCCTAACAACAAATCTGCATTAATCTTCTAGAATGTCATTTAGCTCAGTGGCGAGAAGTCAATCAGTCCATCGATCATCAATCATCCAGTCGGTAACGTAAGGTTGTGCCGGTTGTGGCGGATAAACCGTACGTCTTGTATTTTCCGTCCGTCGCCGCCGCGCGCCTTCCCCGCGGTTTGAAGGAAGGAAGGAAATACCTCATCATTATTACTAGTACTCCATACTATGTAAATACTTGGTCGATGATCTAACCACCTGCTCTTCCCCAAAGTACACGCCCACCGTCAACATCTACAATCAGTCAAGATACGGTTGCCTTTTGTCCAGATAATTTGGCCGCAACCAGCACTGTACAGTACACTAGGTACGTCTCCGTCCGTACACCGCGAACCCATACTAAAACCAAGCAGGGCAGCCCTGTCCTACCAATCCACCCACTGCACCTCACTTAAAAGCTCTTACACCCGGCCCTCCTTCAGGTAGCAACCTGGCGACTAAAACCAAGGCTATGTATGCTCAGCACAGAATTTAATTACCTCAACCCCGAACAACATCATCATCATCATCATCATCATCATCATCATCATCGCCATCAGTCCAGTCCCTTTCATTCCCACAAATAGAACCCCGGGCGGTGACCCATCAACCTGGCAGATGACCTCGTACACTGCAGTCCACGGGTATCTTACGGTACCAAGTTAGATGTAATAATTAAAATTACCGCCCTCGTTTTGGGCAGAAACACCCACCCACAGGCCATGACATACCTAAGTAGTACGGTACACACACGCGCGCGCCTTATCGGTGACAATCAGATCAATCAATCAATTGACAGGCTGGCTGGGTCTAGGTAGCTTTGGGATGATCGAGACTTTTTCTTTTTTTGCACTCATGCCTTGCCCACAACCCACACCCACCCACCCACCCGCCCACTCCTCACGCACCCCCCACACACCCTTGTTTTTTGGGTTTCCAGGTACGGATACAGATGGAGAAAAACGAGCCGGGGGGGGGGGAGGGGGGGTGATAGATCACAAACTATCGATCGTGAGGGTTCTACTGAGGAAGTATAGTCTTTACAGTACAGTAATCAAAAAGATGATCGATCACACACAGATCGATTTGCCAGGTAGATAGATACATTAACCCAACCAAAATATGAACTATCGCAAAAAGCTGGCTGGCTTCAACCCCTGCTGGAGTTAAGGTTGTTTCTACCGTACTACGTACACATACTCACGACTGCGTATCCGTAGGTGGATCTTGATTTTTCTTTTTTTGGGGGGGGGGATTGAATCGAATAGGCCTAACAGGTTAACCCAATGCGTTGGTTTACCACGAGTCAATTCCCTCAACAAGCAAATCATACTTCAGACGAAAACACTGGAGGTGCATATAACGCTGGCAACCAAGTCCTCCATACTTATTTAACCTATGACAGTCAGTAGTAGTAGTAGCAGTAGCAATTGGGTCGCGGCTCTTTCGGCTGGTTTGCCAGTACTTTAGTTACTTACCTCCAGCGGCTGTATATATACAGGGCCGAGCACGGGACACAGCCAGACAGCCAGGTCACGGCTACAGATCTCGTCATCTGTTGTGTGGACAAACAATACGTACCCGTACTCCTCCCACAACTGTATATCTACTCACCACACTTACAACCGACTATATGATTTTTTCATTTTGGTCACATTGACACCAAGTAGCCAAGACATTCTATACCAAGTCCGAAGACCTTCCGTGGTGAAAGATAAATCATACAACACCAACTTATAAAGCTGATGACACTTACAGAGCCGACCAATGTCGAGCTGACACTATACCTTCGGCTCTTCCCTACATACTAATACTCCACCAGAGTGAATGCTACTGTCAAGTGGTAGTGAGACAAGTGGCATAGTGAGGCGGAGGCCAAGGTGAACTGTATCCTGG